CTCCCTCCCTCCCTTCCTTCCATTTCTTCCTTTAGCTCAAGATAGCTCCAACTCCCTGTGTAGCCAAGAATGATTCTGAACTTCTGATCCTTCTACATTCACCACCTACGTACAAGTCTTACAGGTGTGTGTTACCATACCTGACTCCCCAGCTCCTCTTTTTGGTTTGGTTGTTTGTATTTGTTTTGTTTTTACAAGACAAGGCCAGTCTCATTTTGTAACCAAGGGCAGCCTGGAACTCCCGGGATAGCTCCGATTCAAATCCATCCTCCTTCCTGAGCATGCTGAGTGCTGGGATTGCAGGCAGGAGCTACAACAACCACTTTGAATTTGTTTTTAATTTGGGTTAAAATCAGACCAGAGATTCTGTAGCCTTTTGACTTTTGATTTCCAGTGAGAGGAACTCAGCAAACAGATAATCATTCATTGCCAAGGTTCTGGTGCCTCTTGCTCAGACTTGTCTAGACCATGGAATCCCTGCCCCACTGGGAGGCAGTGCAATGCTCTCTGGAACACACACACACACACCTGTATCAAAGTTGCTCTGACCTTTGCAAATGGCAAAGATAAGTTCACATGCAGGTACCGATTTGTCTTTATTTTTAGGCTACATTGTGTGAGCTCCATTTAAAAAAAAAAACTGTACTTTTAATTGGCAGATGATTGTATAGATTTGTGGGGGATATTTTAATCCATGTATACATTTTGTAATGATCAAACCAGAGTAACTAGTATGTCCATTATCTTAAATGCTTATAATTTCTTTGTGGATAAAAGAATTTAAAACCCTCTCTTCTTTTTATAGATATTTTGAAATATATGTTATTAGCAAGGTTTACTGGCATACATCTGTAATCCTGGCCCTTGGGAGGTGAAGGCAGGAGGTCAGAAGTTCAAGGTCATCCTCAGCTACATACTGAGTTTCAGCCAGCTTTGAGGTCCTGTCTCAAAACATGAAAGTGTGTGTGTGTGTGTGTGTGTGTGTGTGTGTGTGTGTGTGTTCTAAATCATAGAAGACCACAACCTATTCTTCCTGTCTAATTGTATCTTGGTACTATTGACCAACTTTCCTTCTCCTTCTAGTCTTCTAGTCAATGGTGTCCTGTTTTCTTCTTTTTACTTCCAAGAGTTCCACACCCTGAGATTTCAAATGTAAGTGAGATCATGTGGTATTTGTCTCTTGGTGTCTGGCTTATCTCACCTAGAATGATGTCCCGTAGTTTCTCCACACTGTTACAAATGAGATTCCCTCTACTTTTGAAAAGAGTGAAAATACTATTTCACTGTATACATACATATGCCATATTTTAAAAAACTGATTTCTCTGTTGATGGACACAGCTGTTTCTATGTTCTGGCTGCTGTGATAAATGCTGCTATAAACACCCATGCGACACATCTAACATGATTTCCTTTTTCTGCTTGCTCTTGGGTTTTGTGGATGGTGGGATTAAACTCAGGGCCAGGTAGTCATTGTGCCACCGAGCCACACCCACAGCCTGTCCAATTTCTTAATATGTGAATTTTATGCTAATGATGGATGCCATGAGCAAGTTGACATCCTTTATCTTATAGAATGATCACTGGTTGTTAGTGGGGGAGGAGATGGGAGGGTTTGAGTAGAGGGCTTGAACCCTATATGGTATTCTCCCCCTTTGCAATCCTGGTCATGTCATTACCTAGAGGACAGATGATCTAGGCCCCACCTCCTGATTGCAGTCACTTCCTCTGAGTTCAGTCACCAAACCCTTTTTGGGCCCCTTACATTCTTAGATCTGTCAAGTCACTTGCTACAGCTCCACAATACTCTATTGCTTTATTTGTCTTCTCTGGGAGCCTTGACTCTGTGTGAAGGAAGGGTAGGTCCACCTTAGTTTATAAGCAGATATATATATATATATATATATATATATATGCATATATCTAAATATATATATCAACACATACGCACACATTTATATTGGTTTTTCAAGACAAGGTTTCTCTGTGTAGCTTTGGAGCCTATCCTGGAACTCACTCTGTAGACCAGGCTGGCCTCGAACTTACAGAGATCCGCCTGCCTCTACCTCCTGAGTGCTGTGATCAAAGGCGTGGGTCACTAAGCCTGGTCTAGTCCATGCCATTTATTACAGTTTAGAGTCTACCCCAATCCCTCAATAGTCTTTGTTAAATAAATATGAGAGAAGATATTAATAGATGGTATGTCCTTTTAAAAGTATTTATTATTTTATATGTATAGGAGTTTTGTCTGCATGTATGTATCTGCAACATATGTGTGCCTGATGCCCAGGGAGTCAAGAAGAGGGCATTGGGATTGAACCTGGGTCCTCTGGAAAAGCAGCCAGTGCTCTTAACCAGCAAACCATCTCTCTAGTTTTTAGCTTGTCCTTTTCAGAGGACAGATTTTTCAACACAGTGGTGACGAGGGGGGTGGGTAGCTAAGTTATTCAGAGGAGAAAGGCTAACCTAAAGACCTCTTTTTTTTTTAATTGCTAAAGGAGGAGTAAGTGATGTATGAAATAAATCCTGGATATAAAATCTTGACAGTGTTGGCCAGAGCTGCCTCAAACCTGAAGAGGGAGTAAATCAAATCCCTCTAGGTTTTATCGACGAGTCCCTGAGATGCAGTTCCGAGGGGAAGGCAAGGCCAGACAGACCCAGGAATTCAAAGCTTGACCTACTTTGAAGGTCTGAAAGACAGACCTAATAAGATGTCTGCATAATCTCTCTCTCTCTCTCTCTCTCTCTCTCTCTCTCTCTCTCTCTCTCCTCTCTCTCTCTCATAGTAAAGGGCAGTGGAAGCACACATGACAGACGTTAGAATTCAGAGAGCTGAAAGCGACGACATCAAGATTGAGCCTGTGTGTTTGTGTATCGCGTCGTTCCCTTTCCCCTCCCCCTCTTTCGAGTGAGAGAAAAAATAGGTGCCTAAATTCCCACCAACATAAACCAATGACATACAATGATGAAATTCTGTTTTCACCTCTGCTTGTGACAGGGAATGCAAAAATAGCAAGTGGCCTATTTCCACGAATCCCCGCCTCCCTGCCCTCCCCGCTCCCGCAGGGTTTGGATCTCTAAGAATGGAGGCTAGCGCACAGCCAGGAGCCAGCCGGGATCAGCCCCCTGTGGTCGGGGGGGGGAAGCAGGGGCAGCCGGGCCAGGGAGGCCGCGGGCCTTGGGGAGCAGGGAGGGCGGGTGGCCTGGATGGCCGCGCCGCGTCGCCTGGAGACGGCCCTGGCGGCGCTGTGTTGCTGTAAACAGCCGCTTCGCTGTTACTATCTATAGCCAGATCGCCTGGCTCCCGGGTGCGGCGGCCCGAGGCAGGGTTGCGGTTCAGCGCCCCTTGCGCCCCTAAAGACCCATCCACTGCCCTAATCCTCTCTAGCCCTTCTTGCAATGCCCCCCGGTGGGCTTGACTCCGGGAAGCCGTAGAATGGAGACGAATGGACACCTGAGTTCTGCGAGGATTTGCGGTTTCATACCCCAGGGGTGACGGGCTCTGGGGCCAGCAAGCCCAGTCAGCCTAACCCGGCTTGTCCTTTAGAGAAGCACGGGAGGCTGAGGGCATGTAGGGGTATGTTCTACACTGAAGCACCTGGCCTCCCCAAAGTTCCTTCTTCCAAGACTCAGAGCCGGGCTCGGGTCCCAGAAGCCAAAATCTCCCCTACTGCCAGCTGGGCACGGTGCTTCCAGTCCGCTCTGGCCCCCCTTCCCTCCAAGTCCGAACTGGAAAATCACCCGCTGCCTGCTCCCTGAAAGCGCAGTTTCATGCTTGGATTCGCCCCCCCCCCCACTACGCCTCCCCAGCACGGACTTGCGTTCTACCCCAGAGCTCACCTCACTTTGTAACCCGGAGCTGCCCCTTGCTCACTAACAACCGCCCCCTCCCACCACTCTCCGGCCCTAGCTCAAAATCAAGCAAACGACCTCTTCAGGCATCCTTGGCAGGGAGGTTTTGCACAGTGTCTACCCGTCAGTGTCTCTGGGGACTGAGAGTCACCCTGATAGCCCCAAGTGGCTTGGAGCTGGGCGTGGGGGGTGCGTTCTTCCTTCAAAACACGGATGAATGAATGAATGAACTCAGTATCATAGGTAAAGTAGGTTATTGTACACTTACTTAGAATTCTTTACTTGCTGCTTCCAACCTCAGTCCTGGGGTTACTCGAGGCCAGGGGCTGGAGCGAGGGACTGAGAAACTGATAACATTTTTTTTTTTTTGCACTGATTTTGCGGTGGGCAAGTTTTCCTTTGGGAACAGAGGCTTCAAAGCCTTTTTGGCAGCGTACCTGTTTCTCCTAGTATCACATTCAGAAATGTCCCAGATTCCTGGACAATGGGAAGGAGGCGACCCCCGTCTCATGCCCTGACCCTGGGAACACTGTCCACATTGAATCAGGTGCGAATGTTCGCTCGCCTTCTCTGCCTTTCCCGCCTCCCATCCCCTCCCCCGGCCGCGGCCCCCGCTCCCCCCGCGCTGCACCCTCAGAGTTGGCTGCAGCCGGCAAGCAGTTCCCGTCAATCCCTCCCTCCTTTACACAGGATGTCCATATTAGGACATCTGCGTCAGCAGGTTTCCACGGCCCGTCCTTGTAGACATGGGGGGACGATCCCCAAAATCCTACACGCGGGGAGTTCAGGAGACCCCCAAAGACCCTTATTGTGAACACAGATAGGTGAATATTACGTGTCAAGACGGAGGCCGGGGACCTGGGGCGAGGAGTTGACGGCAGGGCGACCGCAGAGGGCGCTGGGGCGCGCGGCTCCCCTCCGCTGTCACAGTTCCGCCCAGTGACGTGTTGTGTTCATTCACAAGCGCTTTCTATAAAGGCGCCGGCGGAGGCGCCTACTACTCCAACCGCGACTGCAGCGAGCGACTGAGAAGACTGGATAGAGCCGGCGGCTCGGCGCGAACGAGCAGTGACCGCGCTCCCACCAGCTCTACTCCGCAGCTCGCGCCCCTGAACCCCTCGCCGGACTTTCCGTCCCTAAATCTCGACCATGATGTTCTCCGGGTTCAACGCCGACTACGAGGCGTCATCCTCCCGCTGCAGCAGCGCTTCCCCGGCCGGGGACAGCCTGTCCTACTATCATTCCCCAGCCGACTCCTTCTCCAGCATGGGCTCCCCTGTCAACGCACAGGTGAGTTTGCCTTGGTGCAGCCGCCGGGTCCGCGCTGAGGGTCTCACAAGAGGGGACACCGGGGTGGGACACTCGGGGATGCCAGTTGGGGAGGAGGCTCTTCCTTTTTAGCTTGGGATGGAGACTGGTGGTCAGAGCAGCCCTAGCCTGGGAATCCAGGACTTGTCTGAGGGCACGCACTCTTGTCATAGTAAGACTCGGTGCCCCCTTCCCGCGCCGCAGGTTTATTTGGAGTGGCCTGCGGTCTTCTCTCGGTGACTTGTCTCTGAGATCAGCCGGGGCCAACGAGTCTCAAGCAAAGACTCGCTAACTAGAGCCTGGGAGGCGGCAAACAGCGGCAATCCCCCCTCCCGGGGCAGCCTAGAGCAGGGAGGAGGGAGGAGGGTGCTGCGGGCGGGTGTGTAAGGCAGTTTCATTGATAAAAAGCGAGTTCATTCTGGAGACTCCGGAGCGGCGCCTGCGTCAGCGCAGACGTCAGGGATATTTATAACAAACCCCCTTTCAAGCGAGTGATGCTGAAGGGATAACGGGAACGCAGCAGCAGTGGGATGGAGGAGAAAAGCTGCGCTGCAGAATTCACGGGAGGAAAATGGGAGAGCTTTTATCTCGGATGAGATGCATACAGGAAGACACAAGCAGTCTGTGACCCGAATGTTTGTTTCTCTCTCTCCCTGCTGCATGCGACACTAAGGCCACTGGCTCCACCGGTGTCTGGAACATACTCGCTCACCTCCAGTTTCTTCTTTGTGTTTTGTTTCAGGACTTCTGCGCAGATCTGTCCGGCTCCAGTGCCAACTTTATCCCCACCGTGACAGCCATCTCCACCAGCCCAGACCTACAGTGGCTGGTGCAGCCCCCCCTGGTCTCCTCCGTGGCCCCATCGCAGACCAGAGCGCCCCATCCCTACGGAGTCCCCACCCCTTCGGCTGGGGCTTACTCCAGGGCCGCAATGGTGAAGACCGTGTCAGGCGGCAGAGCGCAGAGCATCAGCAGAAGAAGCAAAGTAGAGCAGGTGAGCAGTGCTTCTGGGCCT